GATACTTCCATTGCTGGGTTGGTTTCTGGGTTATATCATCATGTGTGTTAATGGTCAGTTGTTGGCTGCTGTTGCTTCTCTGTCCAAAGGGCTCCCTTTAGCATCTCTTGTAAGGTTGGTCTGGTTTTAACAAATTCCCTCAATTTCTGCTTATCTGGAAATGTCCTAATTTCACAATCATATTTGAGGGACAATTTTGCTGGGTACATAACTCTTGGTTTGAAATTTTTCTCTTTCAGTGTTTTATATATACACCTTCCCAATTTTTTCTTGCCTGCATGGTTTCTCTCAAAAAATCTGAACTTAGTCTTATTGGTTGCCTGGTAGGTAACTTTTTGTTTTTCCTGTGCTCCTCTATGCACTAGTTGACAGCACTTGTACACTCACCACCTGTCTCCTTTTCTGTTGTCAGCTTCTTGTATGTCCCTGCCAACCTTGGCAAACAGAGCCTATTCTTAGGTCCCTGGAATCTGAATGAGAATGCTATCACTTTAAAATGAAAAATGGCTTCCACTTATAAAGATTCAAAATGCCTGCACCCTCAGTCACTTTAAATATCCCAAATGTCCACCACTTGTAAACATTCAAAATGGCTGTGCTCTCGGTCACTTTAAATATCCAAAATGGCTGCTGCTTATAAACAATCAAAATGGCTACGCTCTCCAGAGAGCAGAAAGTCCACAGCTCAAGTTGTCTTCCTCCTTGCTATTTCCTTTCCTAGTCATAGACCACTAGCACAGTCATCCCTGCAGCCCTTGGTGACCAGGGCTGGTCTTTAGGTCAATTCTTAGGTCCCAATTCCACTTGGAAATATTCAGACTGTTGGTCTTGTCAGTGTAGCTGACAGTTTGCAGCTCCAACAGTCTCTGTACTCACTGTTTTCGTTCATGTTTTCCCACTAGCTGGTGCCTAATCCACTTCTGCATAGTTCCTTTCAAAGCTCAGTGCTCCAGGGTTATCATCTGTATCTGTCAATTGGTTTTTCTTTTCTTTGTTGAAGAGGGTCTGTGTCATTTGCCTAGTCCTCCATCTTACCGGAAGTCATGTTACTCAGTTTTGAGTCATCCTCAAAATTACCAGCAGGTTAGAATCTATTGTTGCAGCTGTTGCATCTATCCATCACATCGAGGGTCTTCCTCACAAGCCCTCTACAAAATACAATATCCTCCTCTAGAGATTGATCCCTTCCATGACATGCCCAAAGCTAGTGAGTCGCACAGTGTTCTGTTGTGAGTCATAAGGTTTACACTGGCTAGTTTTTGGAAGTAGATTCCAGACCTTTCATCCTTTAATCTGGAAGCTCTACTGAAACCTGTCTATCATGGTTAATCCTACATCATAACCTAAGCCATGATATTTTCACTCACCTCATATGCATGTGAGAGCTAGACTATGAATAAGGAAGACTGAAGAAGAGTTGATGCTTTTGAATTGTGTGTTGGCAAAGAATGCTGAAAGTACCATGGACTGCTAAAAGAACTAACAGATCTATTCTGGAGGAAGTGCAGCTAGAATGCTCCTTGGAAGCGAGAATGGCCAGACTTTGTCTCACCTACTTTGGTCATGTTGTCAGAAGGGACCATTCCCTGGAGGATGTCATACTTGGTAAAGTGAAGGGTCAACAAAAGAGGAGAAGGCCCTCAACGAGATGGACTGACACAGTGGCTACAGCAATGGGCTCAGATATATAGGGATTGTGAGGCTGGCACAGGACCAGGCAATGTTTCTTTCTGTTGTACATAAGGCCAGTATGAGTCAGAGATGACTCGACAGCATATGACAACCACAACAACAATTGCATGCCTCTCTGTCCATCCTTGTTTTTCTTTCTCTCACTTGCTTGAGGCCTATTCTTCTCTTTAAAAAGCCAAATGTGTCCAATCCCCTCCTCTGATCACATTTCTGAGGATTCTTATTGTCCTGGTGCAGGTACTTCAGAAAAAGGAGCAGTTTGGGGCTAACAGAAGGTGGATGGAGGCAGAAAAACAGCCCTGAGGAAAGATGGAGACCAGGACAGGAAGGGAGTATAGGGATGTGTCCAAGTATAAATCTACAGCTGTGAGGGGTTGAGGTAGGAATGGCAGAGCTCAGGTGAAAGATATGATAGAAAACTGATTCCGCTGGGAGAAAATAAGGAGGTTTAGGGCCCAAGACCAGGGAAGAAGAGCATCTGTCAAACCTGGCCAGGCACAACTTCTGTTGGCATTTATATTCAACCCTACAGAGCAGCAGGAAAGCTGATTAATGATTTATCATCCTCAAGCTTTTATTTATCTATTATTCATTGCCAATGATACAAGGAGCCCCAAATTCCTAAGTCCTGTGTGCCTCCTAAGTGCTTAATCAGGCCCTGGGGTTTGGGATGGGCAGTAGCAATGCCTAGAAAAGGGCTGCTTATGGTTCAAAGTGACCAGAGGAACCAGGCAGTGTGAGGAAACCAAATCAAACCAAACCCACTGCCTTAGAGTCAATTCTGACTCATGGCAATCCTATAGGGCAGAGAAGAACTGCCCCATAGGGTTTCCAAAGCTGTAAAACTTTATGGAAGGAGACTGCCTCATCTTCCATGGACCAGCTGGTGGGTTTGAACTGCCAGCCTTTTGGTTAGCAGCCAAATGCTTTAATGCTTTAACCACTATGCCACCAGAGCACCTGGCAGTGGTAGGAGGGACCTAAGTTTATACTTCTTGTCCATCCTGCAACAAAACTTTTCTCCCAAAGTCACTCTTGAGCCTTTTCCAAATATTTCTTTTTCTTCCTTCTCTTTCTCTCACTCTGTCTTCTCTGTGTCTCTGAGTCTCTGTCTGGTCCTCACTGTCTCTCTCTGTATGCTTCTCTGGATGTTTCCTTATCAAAATGTATGTCTACTTGACAAACCCCATTGCCAAGTTTTCTACTTTCCAGAGTAATGACCCAGCTGTGAGTGTCCACACTTAGCATTTTAATCTCTTCTCTCACCTTCCTCACTTTAAAAATGCTATTATTCATTTGACAGGATATTTCTACATATGTGTTTACATATGCTGCAGGTATATGCATGAAATTGAGGGCAAAGTTATGATAACTTCTTAGCCATGAACAAAAACTCTGATGGAGTCACTGGCCTGCTGACTCAGGACCATTATCTCAGGGCACATCAAGTTCAATTGGCACAACACAGTCCACAGAGGCAATGTTCTGCATTCTACTTTGATGAGTTGTGCCTGGGGTCTTAAAAGCTTGCAAGCAGCCATCTAAGGTGCAACAATTGGTCTTTCCTCAACTGGAGCAAAGAAGAATGAAGAAAACCAAAGACACATGGAAATAATTAGTCCAAGGGACTAGTGGACCATACAAACCTCAGCCTACATGACTGTGAGACCAGAAGAACTAGATGGTGCCCAGCTACCACTCTTAACCACTCAGAAATGGATCAGTGTAGGAGATCCTAGATAGAATGGGAGAAAAAGGTGAATCAAGATTCAAAATCATTTAAAAAAAAAAAAAACAAAAAGAACAGGCTTACTGGTCAGGTCCCTGAGACTATGGCTGTTGGTCACTCTTCAAACCTGGAACTGAGCTCACTCTCGTAGCTCAATTTTCAGTCAAACAATTGTTGTTGTTGTTGTTGTTATGTGCCGTTGAGTCGGCCCCGACTCATAGCGACCCCTCCTTGGGTTTCCGAGGCAGTATCACTACGGAAATAGGATTGCCCAACCTTCCTTCTGAGGAGTGGCTGATGGGTTTGAACTGCCAGCCTTCTGGTTAGCAGTCAAGCGCCTTAGGCACTATGCTACCAGAGCTCCCAGGTCTATAAGGTGAACAATAACTCTAGGAAGGTACACAGTCCTTAAAACAATTAACCATTTGAGATCAAAAGGGCATGATTTTCCCAAAGACAAAGTTCAGAAGGCAGGAAAGGTTAGGAGAGAAGGAGGAATAGAAATGAGAAACACAGGGAGGACGTAGGAAGAATGATTATACTGAGAGGATTACAGTCAATTACATGAAACAAAATGTGTGTGAACTGTTGAATGGAAAACTGATTTGCTCTGTAAACTTTCACCCAAATCACAATAAAAAGTTTAAAATAATGCTGCTGTTGTTATTAGCTCCTGTCAAGTCAGCCCCAACTCATGGTGATCCTATGCACAACGGAATGAAACCTTGCCTGATCCTGTGCCATCTCCATGACCAGTTGTAGACAGGTTCTATTGTGATTCATAGGTTTTCATTGGCTGATTTTAAGTAGATTGCCAGGTCTGTCTTAGTCTGGAAACTCCACTGAAACCTGTGCAACATCATAACCACACACAAGCCTCCACTGACAGGTAGTGGCTGCGCATGATGTGCAGTGGCCTCCCCTAACTTTCTTAAACACACACACTTGCATGCACATCCTGCTCCAACTTTCTGGGAAACTCTTGGTTTTGTTCTTCTGACTCTGAGATCAGGGCCCTGAGCAATTACCAGCCTTACCAGCCTTGACAACCAAGCCCATAACCAGGCCTCCCACTGCTGTGTCTGTTTACCGTGAATATCTCCTTTGCCTCTGATGTGCCTACTGTCTCAACAGGTTACCCACAGTACTTGGTGGTAGGAAACCACCTGTCAGGGGAACATCACCTGAAGATTCTGCGGGCAGAGCTGCAAGATGATGCTGTGTACGAATGTCAGGCCATCCAGGCCGCCATCCGGTCCCGCCCTGCACGTCTCACTGTCCTGGGTAAGAAAGAACCACTCTGCATGCAGGGGGAGAGAGGGGACATAAGGGTGGTGAGGATACTATGAGAATCCTCAATGTCTCTACTTCAGAAGGTTTCTTCCAGTCAGACTGGAGGTACTCCCCACTGGGTAAAATCCAAAGCATCATCCTACAGGACTTGAGCCACTGTTCTTCTATCATGTCCATACCCTCCTCTCCCCCACAAAATGGAAAAAAAAATGAAGATTCCTGCATCAGAAAGCTGATGTCCAATTGACCTATGACCCTGTCCAACCTTGCTGTGCTTGACTCCAACTGAGGGAGCAAAGTAGGGCTCCTGGGAGCAACTTGATTCCATCAGAGTACATATTCTGTGTGGCTGACCTATGCATTGGGGACTCACAGTCCTGAGTCCCTTCATTCTATACTGACCTCCTTGGCTATCCTAGTCATCTACCACCCCTACTAAAATCGGCCTCAAACTTGATTCTCCCTATGACTTCAGGGTCCATGGGGACCACCAGTAACTCTAGTTCTCTACCCACCCTTCACTGTTCCCTGGCTTCCTGCTCTCAAAGGGAGAGTGGGGCTGTCCTAAGTCATTCCTAAGGAGCTCCAGTGGTGTAGTGCTTAAGGCATTTGACTGCTAACTAGAAGGTTGGCAGTTCAAACCCATCAGCCATTTCGTGGAAGGAAAACTGGGCAATCTACTTCCATAAAGATTTACCACTTTGGGAACCCAAAGGGGGTCACTATGAATCAGAATCAACTTGATGGCAGTGAGTTTGTTTTTTTTTTTTTTTTAAGTCATTCCTAGAAAGACTCATTCCAGTCCCTGATCCCGAATGCCACCTTTCCCCTTGGTCTGTCTTCACCTTGTCTTCCCAGGAGCCCAGTGCACTGGGCATCCTTCCTGAAGAGGCACCCATGCCTTCTCTTGGACAGACCTGCATGAAGACATGAGAATGAGCCCAGTGACCTCTTAAATTGCCTTACTCTCATTTAGAGTTCAGCCCTGCCGTCTCCTTCTATCAACCAGATGTTTCTGAGGATCAGAGCCCATGGGGGACCAAGCTTTGCACATATGTAATAATAACTCACATTTGCATAGCGCTTTGTAGCAACTCCCAAAGTGCATTCACACACCTCATTTCAGGCTACAAGCCAGTGGGACCGAGAATGTTAGCCCAGCTGAGAAACTGAGACTCAGAGAAGCAAGGGACTTCACCCATGGTCTCCTTGCTGAGATAAAGTGGAGCCTTACTGCTCCTTCTACTCTTCACTGCCTCTCCACACCTGAGTCTATGTCAGAGCCTGTGCAGCTTTAGCACAGACAGGAAAGAGGGAAATGTGATCCTGCCCCACCCATCTCTTAGCAGCTGTTGTGAAGGTCTGACAACAGGGTGGGCAGCTGGGGTTCTGTGCTTCCTCACCAGGAAGATAAGGCACAGGCTGCTCCTAGATGAAATATTTACAAGGGTGTCAGGTTATCTTCTGATCTACACAACCTAACGCACCAGGACGGATTATTCCAACTGCAGCAAACAGGCCCAGGGGATCACTTAACTAGTTCTGAGTTTGGCTTCTTGAGACAGGGAGGAGGACCTCGGGGCCAGCCATTAAACCTCCTTCAACCTCTGTCCCTTCTCTGGCTTGCAGTGAAAGGAATAAGGAAATCAACCTGTCTGTCCAGCTGGGTAAATACTGGGATGCTTGGCTTGCAAGTGGGCCTGCAGAAGAGGAATTGAAAATATTAAATGAGGCCAAAATGGCAATGAGTCTGATTTAGTGTGCAGGGCTAGGGGAGGAGGGCAGGAGGATTTAGGATGTAGTATTTTTTCTGGTTTTTTGACGATTGCAAAATGCCAGGTTGAGATTTACTAAAGGACCGTCAGAGCTTGTTCAGCCCCTGTCCTCAGAGGGATCTGCTTTCTGTGACCCTGTACCTTTTCTAGAGGAGCCAACAGATGTTAAATGAGAGAAGCCACAGCAATGTTCACTCCTCTGACTTCCTAACCAGTTGGCTTCAAATTGATCCCAACTCATAATGTCTCCATGTGTGACTGAGTAGAACATGATCCATGGGGTTTTCTTGGCTATAATCTTTATGAAAACAGATCACCAGGCCTTTCTTCCATGGTGCTGCTGAGTGGGTTTGAACCACAAACCTTTAGGTTACCAGCCAAAAGAAAACTACTTGCACTACCCAGGGACCTTCTTCTGACTTCACCCAGGTCCTAAAATAGATGGGGATGTATCTTGTCCTTAAGTTGTTTCAGAGCTTCACCCAGTAAGATTCAACCATTTTCCCCTGTTCTCTCTAGCTTCTCAATTATACTACAAAATCCACAGTATTAAAAATCTAAATTATTCCAAATGCTTTACAGATAAGGAAAATGAGAGAGAAGCAAATGGACCCCCATGAAGCCCCATGGCTTAATTAACATTCAAGAGACCCCAGCTCTTCCAACTCCAAACCAATGCCCATTGCCCAGCTTCTGCCTTCCTGAAAGCTAGCAGAGCCTTGCTAATCTGCTGATGAAGAGCTGGGCTTCTGAGAGCAGGCCCTGGGATCTGATTTGAACAGACCCAATTTTGTGTTGAATCACATCTAAAGGGCACTCACTACCCTCCTCCAGGGCATGGCATGGCACTGTCCTCTGGCACACAGCTGGGTTTATGGGAGGCGTGTTACATTCCAGTCTGGAGATATGTTGGAAGAGGAAGAAGGGGTGTTTCCAAGGGGTCGAGCAGCATCACCTGGTAGAATTTCTTAAAGCCAGAAAGGGGACATGGGCAGTCGTCCATCTACCAACCTTTTATGCAGACACCACAAAATTCATTCATCATAAACATACTAAACCCAAGGCAAACAAGAGCTTCCCCAGACCCTGCCTACAGTCCTCCCTGACTCCTGGGGCCACCTTAAGTCCCTAGCCCTCAGCTGGCCCTGCAGAACTCTGCCTGCTGAGTCTCTCGTGGTGTAGAGCACCCCCTAGTGCCCTAGACAGAGACCCTACATGCAGCAGCTCACCGGCTGGTGGGAAAGACCTTTGCTCAGCAGTTAAGGGTAGACAGAGCAGCTGTTCCAGCAGAGAACAGGGAGAGAGGTGTTTCTCCACCCTGGCTGAGCCAGCCTTCCTAACCAAGACCCCATCTGCTTTGCCATGACATCTCAGCCAGGGAAAATGTCCCAGCCGGTTCCCTGAGGGGGGCTGACTTCCCTGTGTTCTAGGAATGAGAGAGCTTCCTAATTTAGTCTGTATTTGCCTGAGATAGATTTTTAATTAAATAAACTAAGAGCCTGATTAGAACCTGCAGAAGATGTGAGAGCAGAATTAGATGGCATTCCAGCAAAATTGCAAAGCAAACACTTTGTCTGGAACCGAGGGAGGCCCCCCCGAGGGTCTTCATCAAAGCACCAAGCAAGGAGGGCAAATATGAGAGATTATATAGCCAACAGATGTGCATTGTTAAAATATGCATCTGCCGGCAGTGTGCTTAGAGGAGCCAGAGGGCTAGCTCATAGAGCCTGCCGGGCTCCAGGGATGGCATGCAGACTTGGGCCTCAGCAGCCAAGCCTAGAGTCACAGACACATTAATTAACATTGTGTTTCTAGCTCTCAGATGCAATCAGGCAAAGAACAACTTGTAGCTGAGCATTTGCCACCCCTGGAGGCAGAGGGAGGGAGCAAGGGAATGGAGAGGGGGAAGGGGTTGAGCTGGCAAAGCTGAGGTGTTGGAGGACATCGGTCACCTAGATGCCATGGTCCGCATTCCCTCAGTGAACCAACCTGCTTCAGAGGATCATGCCTGGACTCAGGCAAGGTCACAATGGGCTTCTTTCAGCCCCCAGAACAGGTCAGGAAACATGGTGTCATGGCAACCTTATGTACAACAGAATGAAATGTTGCCCAGTCCTGCATCATCCTCACAATCATCACCATGTTTGAGACCATCATTGTGACTGTTATGCCAATCCATTTCACCAAAGATCTCCCTCATGGTTGCTTGCCCACTACTTCACCAAGCATCATGTCATCCTCCTGTCATCATGTCATAGTGATTGATCTCTCCTGATAATGTATACAAAGCAAGCAAGTCTGACAGTTTTCTGTTATGATCCATAAGATTTGCATTAGCAATTTTTTGGGAAGTAGATGTCCAGGTCTTTCTTCCTAGTCTGTCTTAGTCTGAAAGCTCCTCTAAAACCTGTCCACCATGGGTGACTCTGCTGGTATTTGAAATACTGATGATACAGCTTCCAGGATCAGAACAATAGACAAGTCACCACAGTACAACAAACTGACAGATGAGTAGTGGTGTCATAGACTAGATGTTCAATAATGTTTGTTTAAAAAATGAATGAATGACTGAGTTTCTGGTTCTTCATCTACAAAATGGGGATAATAGAAATACCAATCTCATAGGATTGTTGTGGGGAATCAAATTAACATATATATATGACACACACACATATCCTCTACAAGCAATGAGATGTCATATACGCAGGCTGTCCACACACATGCACACATTCATGGACGCATGAAGTCTTTTACTTTCCACACTTGCAGGAGCCTTGAAAATACCTGAATTGTTCCAGGGTCCAACCTGTAAGTGTGGTTTTGTATTTAATCTATTTAACTGCCTGAAACCATAGAAAGCAAGGAGTTAGAGGACTCAGAACAGGGATATTTTGGTTACCTAGTGCCACTCTGACAGGAATATACCACCAATAGGATGACTTTAACAAACAGGAGTTTATTCTCTTACAGTTGGAGGCTTTCAGTCCGAGTTCAAAGTGCCAGGTTCTAGGGGCTGGGTGAAAGTCCCTCAACCTTGGGCTTTAGCTCTGCCTCCTGCTCCTGGCCCACTGAAGCTAGAGATTTTCTTCACTCAGGCAGCTGCTGGCTGCTAAGGCTGCCAAGCCCAAGATTGACAAATGAAAAGACACAGTCCAATGTTACCAAATAACACGGCAGGCCACTAATTCAAATCCTAAAGATGTCCCAAGATCAGCA